CTTCCTTGCCAATCATCATCCAGATGTAGTTTAATCGCTTGCACTAAGAAAGGAAATCTTTTTCTGTCGCCGGTCGATAAACTGTATCATCGAACAAATGATGCTCCATTATAACGTACCATTACCTACCAAGACAACAAACTCACCCCCTTCGCCAACTTACTGTAAGGCAAAGGGTTCCGTTTTCAAATCACACAGCTCTTTGAAATCCTTCCTTTGTGCATAGGTCAAGATAGACTGTATGATACTCCGGCTTTTGGTTAAAACATTTAAAATGCCCGCCGACAGTATACAAAACTTGATTGGCTTCATGATAAGGTTCTGCTTTTCTGTAAAAGGACGATGGAAAAGGAGTCGAAAGAAGCGCCTTTTTACTGAGAGAAGCAAGAGCTTGTGTGACTATCACGCCCTACCTTAAGGCAGAGTTTATCTTTGATTCTCTGTAAAGACCCCACAACTTCGCGACAGGTGGCCGCGTTGATATTTTGCGTAGGCGCGAAGGGAGGTCCCAAACTCAAAAAGTCTATCGCATTGGCAGATACTTGAGCACCACCTAAAACTGTGACACGAGCCGTTCTATCATTATCAATTTGATCTTGAGAACTCACATTGATTAACCGCGTCTCACTGGATTGTTTTGGTTGACCCTGGAACTCACCTGACACTCAGGAGCACATCGAACTACGGAGCGTGGATCTACAGGTTAGGTCTCCCTTACCGCAATGCTATGGAGACTTTCTAGTTCGAACTTGTACCGAGTAAACTTCCACACTAAGCTGGGTAAGCCCGTCAAATTTAGACGTTAGCGCAAAGTGTAATTTGTTTTAATAATATGTAATGTCCTCTGGTTGCGCTTTTGATACTCAAAAATCCATATTTCCAGATAAAAATTTACGGAAGAGAATTGGCTGCTCAGAAGAAAAAGCCTTTGACCTCCTCGTCCACTAAAACAAGAGACTATTAAGTCGCATTGTACGTTTTTTGTGGGACAAAGACGGCTGTATGGATTGCTTCAATGATCTCGAGATATCTTGCTCTGACTAGGACTTCGATCGCAAACTCAATGACTTTCGTTGCTTTTGCGAAGGAGATCAGTTTCGAGCTGCACAGAAGTTCTCACATAACCAAAGTATCCAAACCAAACTTTGGCATAAGACAATCCAAAATTTTTACATACACCAATTCTACAAAGGAAGAATACTTGGTCGAAGTGGCGATCCAAAATCGAGGTAAACCCTATTGAATGTAGCTCGAAACGATGATTTCTATATCTGCGAAATTTGTGGAAGAAAAGAGGGCAATTTTTCGCCGCTAAAAAATGACTGTTAGAATCTGAACAGTCTCAGTCTTGACCCAAAACAGCAAGCCAAAGGATGAGTATTTTAAAAAAACATGTTTTCATAGTAGAAAAGCCTTTTGTTTATGTTTTAGAGTGAATTTGACATTGCTAGGCAACTCGAATAGCACAGGCTAATTTCGGCATAGGTAAACTCTCATCATTCTTCCACAAAAGGGCTTCGCAGGGAATACAAATTTGGAATCAACGTTTCATCCTGCATCTATCAACTATCCTTCCCATGTTGATTTGCGAGTTATCTTCTGATTTTGGGAAGACGTAATAGCGTTCTATACATTCATATGTATATATAGTGCAGTTCTTAAAAGGGAGAAGATAATGACCTGCATAATTCTTGTGACCTCAAACGGTTCGTAGACGTGAACGCCTACGGTCTTCTCATCTGTGACGTTGCCATCAAGACTCACCACTGGTGCATCGGGTACAAAACGACGAACAGCCCTGATTAAAGCCGAGTTGTGGCCTGAATCGATTATTATGTCGAGAAAGCTGCATAATTCTCTTCTAGGATATACCTTTTGTGGCGTCAACAATAACCTCACCGAAGAGGCGCGAGACGTCATCCGTCATTCGCAAGTTTTCCAGAAGGCGAGATAGCATATCCTTCTGGTGCTGAACGGTACGATAAGCTATTATAGAATATGAATGCTGGTAAATATTCTTAGGCTTACTCTGAGATCGTCAATAAAAAGTAACGGATATGATTTTTCCACATGCTCTTGTAGCATGGATTCGATAGTATCCCTAGTGGACTTCTTGGCACCGAACAGAGCAACGGGAGTTCCGTTAGAGCATACTGTAGAAAAAGTATAGCTTATTTTGATATGATATTGTATCAAAAATCGAACTCACAGAGTTTTGTTATAACCGCTGCTAGCTTCCCCTCGCCAACCACAATAGCTGAAGCCATTCCTAGAATTTTTGGGTTCTTACTCCATTAGTATTGGAGGGCAACAACACAATAAACAGAAAATAGCAAATATTCAGAATGCAGGAAATTCTAAAGGAACTTGAAAAATAAGTTCTGGCGTTTAGGTAGCGAGGAGGGAGCTAACGAATTATTAAAATTGCGAAGGCTAGGTAGAATATTACTGAACATTCTTCCGCACATGTAGGGCGTTTGAGGTCTATAGAACTACCTAGATTACCTTTAAACTTTTCATCAAGATCATGTCGCATATCGAGGACATCATAAACCTCAATATTTGGAGAAGACAGATTTCACTAGATATCGTCTGAGAGGAGCAATACGAAGGTCCTAACCCAGCCTAGCTGACCAAGGGTGGTTTCGTATCAAATAAAACTCCAGACAGCTGCATGCAGTTTCCCACCAAACACATGAGTTGCTTTCAGAAACCCTGAAGTAAGCATTTATCAGCTGACAGATACTGAACTACTTGTTCACGTGCTAACTCGACTGTCCTATTTCCTACTTCATCTGCAGTTGGAACACAACTGAGTACAGCACGTCAAGGATCTGAGCATCATTCAAATTGTTTTAAAGCTGCGTCCTTAGAAATTATGTTGATTTCCCATCTTTCTTATCCAATGAACTATAGCCATTCATCTATGGGCTGGTCTTAGTTATAGTTTAAAGAAAGAAATACTGATGATAACAAGAATAATGAAAAACTCAGAACACTGGGGT